AATAAAACCAAAACCCACGTTTGTGCTCAGATACTCAGCACATCTAAAATTGATAATCAGCTCATTCATTTCATTAAAAACGGAAAGAACTGTGGATGCTATAAATTAGGAACATACAACAAAGTTGCTGGAAAAGCTTAGCAGGTCTGGCAGCATCTGTGAAGGAAAAAACAGAGTTAATGTTTCGGGTTTGGTGATCCTTCCTCTGAACTGCTTCAGACATTATTTATTTGGCTATAAAGTTATCTTGGGATATCCTGAAGTTATGAGAGGTGCTATTTAATGTAAGTTTTGTTCTCTTAAAATATCTTCACCGTTAATAGATCTTGCACCTTTATAGTGACTGTTCTTCTATCTTGAAGCCTGAACAAGAGTTAACTGGTGATTTCACCCCAGAGAATTTCATAGGCCTGGATTTTCCCAATGCCCACTTTTTCCAGGAAGGATCACTGAGTAGTAATTGGTAACTGTGAATCGAAGTGAATTCTACATGAACCAGAGAAAACAGCTAAGATCAAATTATATTGATGAACCTTTAGCTTGATGTTATGAATTGATGGTTCTGGCCTGAAACTGCAATGTACTTTATTTAACTTGGTGCATGTTAAAGTGTCATAATTCTGCAACAGAACTTGCCACACATTGTAACCTTTTAAACAATGCCAGCTTCACAAAAGAACATCTGAGCTGAGTGAATTCCAATGGGTCAGATATCCTGGAGGTGAAGCAGCACAATACATGTAACATTATAAAACATGTATCTTGAAAGCTTGTAACTGCACGTGCGTGCCTGAACATTTTGTGGGCTTTAGCATATCATGGTCAGGAATAATTTTAGATTGGATTATATATCCACACAAATAAAAAGCAGCAAATGTAGCCTGTGTTCATTATTAACAATCTTTGTTTTTTTTGATATATTAAAAATATGTTAACCTCCTTGCTGAAGGCTTCACATATCATGCCTATATAATCTTCTACTAATACCTTGCTTAAGTGGCCACCATTGCTCACTACTGAGCCTGATGGGCATGGGGATGGCCTGTTGCTCAATAGTAAATTCTGGTACCTCTTGACAAATGCTGAATGTTACTCTGTTTGAGACTAATTAATCCAGTACAGGTCAGAGATTTGATTCTAAAACTTTATTTTATTGCTCATCCACTCACTGCACAAACTTACTGGCATGCACTTTTTTAACTTTAATTTTTAATTTCTTACACACTGACTATCCAAATCACCATGTGGTTTACAATAGAAACAGTTTGTATCTATATAATAATTTTTAATGTAATAAGCGGCCCAAACTGTGTCACACAGAAATTCTGAAACAAGATGTGACATCAGGTCACGTGAGCCGATACTAGACAGTGATCCAGGATTTGTTCAGGGTTGATGGTAAGCAGAAAAGTGAAATAGAGTAGGCAGAGGGGTTTAGGGAGGGAATTCCAGAGCTGAGGGCCCAGGCAGTTGGAAGCATAAATGAGGTTTTCAGAAGTGCTGAGGTGGGGCACAATAGAGTGACATGAGTTGGAACTTAAGTCATCTTAGTTGCTGTTTTGCATATCTGTTGGAAGCTCATCACAGAATGAAACAGGATCCTGAGATCCTGAAAACTCTGGTTTGGTCCCTGGCAGTTATCAACGAGAGGGATGGTGGTAGTGATTAAATTACAAAGTTTATTAAGGGAATCATAAGAAATAGAGGAATCATAGTGTCATACAGGACAGAAACAGACCTTTTGGTCCAACTCATTCATGCCAAACAGGTTTCCCAGACTAAACTAACCTCACTTGCCTGCATTTGGCCCAAGTCTCTGTAAGCCTTTCCTATTCATGTACCTATCCAAATGTCTTTTAAATGTTGTAACTGTACCTACATCTGTCATTTTCTTCTGGTGATTCATTACACATTTGAATCACTCTGTGTGTGTTGCTTTTAAATCTTTTGACTCTCACCTTTTTAAAAAATATGCCCCCTAGTTTTGAACACCCCACCCTTTGGAGAAGACCTTTGCTATTCACCCTATCCGTGCCTCTCGTGATTTTATAAACCTCAAAGGTCACCCCTTAATATCCTAGACTCCAGTGAAAAAAGTCCCAGCTTCGCCAGCCTCTCCTTATAACTCAAACTCTAGACCTGGCAAAATCCTGGTAAACCTTCTCTGAAACCTCTCTAATAATATCCTCCCTATAGCAGGGTGAGCAGAACTGTACACTACTCCAAAAGTGGCCTCACCGACGTCATGTACAACCTTAATTTGACGGCCCAAATCCTATACTGCATGGCTTGAGCAATGAAGGCAAGTGTGGTAAATGTCTACTTGTGATGCAACGTTCAAAGAACTATGGGCTCAGTCTCTGTTTGACAACACTACCCAGGGCCCTAGCATTAACTGTATAAGTCCTGCTTTTGTTCATCTTACCAAAATGTAATACCTGACATTTATCCAAATTAAACTCCATATGCCACTCCTCAGCCCATTGGCTCAATTGATCAAGATCCCGTTGTAATCTTAGATAACCTTCATTGTTGACTATACCACCAAACATGCTAACTGTGTGTCCTAAATTGTCATTCAAGTTGTTTATGTAAATGACAAACAACAACAGTGGATCCAGCACCGATCTCTGCGGAATGCCACTAGTCACGGGCCTCAGTGCAAAAACAACCCTTCGCCAAACTTGACCCTGCTCTGCCAACCAGTAAGGCTGATCTACCAAGAGACATTTCCCTACACAAGCCCCACCCACCTTGATATCTTTGTCCAGAAATCTGTTAATGCTTCATCTTGCATGTACTCGAATGACTGAGCCTCCATAGTACTCTTGGCTACAGAGAATTCCAGAGATTCACCCCTTTGGGGCCTTTTGCCTTCCCAGTTTTTTTATTTGGAGGAATTATTTAGGATTCTAAGAGGTTTGCTGATGAGGGAGCGTGAGTGTTGGTGTTCATCTTTCAAAATGTGCTGGATTCTGGAAATGTTATGCTACGTAAGAAAATCACAAATGTAAACCCATGATTCAAGAAGGGAGAGGGGCACAGGGGGAAAAAAAAATGATGCTAAAGGCTAGTTAATTTGATACCTGTTGAGAAATTGAGATGAATTGAACACAACCATAAGGATGTTGTGCTTTAGTTATATATAGCATCAGTGAGATCATATTTTTGAGTACTGTGTACAGTTTTGATCTACTTATTTAAAAGTTGATGTAAACGTCTTGGAGGCAGTTCAGAGGAGATTTGCTAGTTTGATATGTAGAATAAGTGGAATGTCATTTTTGGAAAGATTGGACAGGCTGGGATTGTTTCCACAGGTCTTTAGAAGAATGAGAGATGACTTGACTGAAGTATACAAGATCTGGAATGGTTTTAAGAAGGCCAGTGTGGAAATTTTCTCTCGTCCATTCACCGTAGAATTATGGGGAATTGTTTTAAAATTAGGGGCTGCTTGTTTACAACTGACGAGGATAACTTTTCTCTCAGGTTGAACAACTTTGGAACTCATTGCCTCCAAAGCCAGCAGAGATGGGAGTCATTGAATATTTTTTTAGAGTGGATAGATTTTTGTTTGAAAAGGGTATTGAAAGTCACTATGAGATTGTGGAATTTGCTAAGTGATAAATGAAGGGCAGAGGGGACTCAACGCTCAAAGTAGGTTTTGTCTGTATTTACATCAAAACTAATTGAGTTTTCGGGGCAATGTTGTCAAGAGACAACATGTAGATGAGGCTTGAGAGGGCCAAGAATAGATACTTGGTGAGCATTAGGGTCATGGTGCAGAAGTGTGAAGAGAAACCACTGCTGGTGATTCTCTGGCAACAATCAGTTGGAAAAGGATGGCACCATGTGAATAGAGACCTATCAACCGGATGATGATGGAGAAGCAAGTGAGAAGGGTGGTATGGTTAACCATGTTGAGGTTTATAGACAACTTGAGGAGGAAAGGCAGAATCACTTACCATTGCCACAGTAACATTGGATGTCACTTAGATTTTGATAAGAGCTGCTTTGGGACAGTGATGGAGTGGTAAGTGGTGGGGCTAAAGGGATGGCCATGGATTTCCAAGACACACAAGTATTTGGGGACGTAGGGAAGAAAATGAAAGTTGGAGATGAGGTTGTAATTTTTAAGGACAGTGGGATCAATGGTTGGTGTTTTGGTGAGAGAGGTGAAGAAGGGATAACAGTACCTGAAGATAGTAAGCCATTAGCAGTATCAGTGAGGATGGGGCTCAGGAGTAAATGTTGGCTGTTATTGAGTGGAAATAACGTTGGGTGGCTGTCAAGGACAAAATAGCTCAAAGGCTGTGAGGGAAGATTTCAAGTGAAACTAGCCAAACTTGCATGCTCAGAACAAGAGCAACAGGTAACTGAGGGGACATTTATCTTGGTGGGCTGGGAAAGAGCCAAGTGGCAGAGGCAGCTTTCAGCATGGCCTCAATCCTGTGAAGAGAACAGATTATGAACTCTTTGCACTGGAGCCAAAGTGGAGGAGATGAGGGAGTGGAGTTTGTGAAGACAGTTTGCATGGAGCAAAAAAATGCTGGGCATTGTTGTATTCCAAGATTCTGCAATGAGCAGTTGTGTGCAGGAAAAAGGACATGTATATTTTTACAACATGCAAAGCTATTGAATCACTGTTTTCACTTTAAAGCTTGTCAATCTTGTTTTCAAAAATATTCACAGCACATTGGTGTGGTTGTTTGTGGGTGCGTACCGGTATGTATAGTGACTTAAGCTAGTTGAACTACTACATTGTATTTATTTTGCAACGTACCCTTAAGACAGGAATAAATTTCTAATGCTGAGCATCAAGTTTCTCATGGAATACATGTCCTAAATTAATACGTTATGAAACCGAATATGCTTTGGCACTTTTAAATAAATGTATGAAATTCTTTTCTACGTTGTAATCTCTTGTTATGATAGCCTCAGATTGAAAGATTTGGCATAATAAATATTTAACTGATCTGAACTGTGTTCATTTTTTTTTGTAGGAGGTTACTGGGAAGAGTTTTGGCAACAAAGATTTTCGAGCAGCACTGGAAGATGGAGTCTTGCTGTGCGAGTATGTAACCAAGTATTGTATGCATGGAAGAATGGTTTTGCTTTAGTTTGCTGGGAGGATGGAGGCACAGAGTGGAACAGAATGTATGGTTAAGTGAGTCTTTTCAGTTTGGAGGTGCTCTGGCAATGGAAGATTGCACACCACGCACTCCTCATGCTGGTATGCTTGATATAGACACATATTTTCAGATAAGGCTGAGCGTGTTTGAGGACAGCACGATAGCAGACAACCTAACCTAATGGGAACTGAAGAGATAGAAATGTTGGGACTTCCCCATATGGCTGTAACTATTTTTCCAAATCAGTAATATGATGTGTAAGGTGGCCTTGGCTGGGCAAGAAGTAGGAACCTTGCCTGTACTTGTGGACTACACAGCTTGTTTTTAATGCGTTCGTGTCCTGCAATAATGCAGCACACTTCTACAGCCTCACCTCAAGCTTTGGCTGTTGCTAACGTGTGTATGTACCCTTTGGGCTTGAATATATGTCTGTGCCTTCATAAACAGGAACTCTTCAGACCAGAATTTCTCAGTAGCATTAGGTGGGGACTCCGGTTTGCATGTTCCCACCACAGTTGTCAGACGCCATCCTAACAAAACCAAAATGCTGTCACTGGAGAAAGAGGAAAGTATGCAAATTTAGGCATTGGCGTTAGATCCCCTTACTGTTTTTGCCAAGCCCATTGAGACTGAGGATGACTTTTTTTCAGTCCAGATTTGTAGGTTCTGAGGTGACTAAACAGCCCACTGCTGGATTTGCACACCCTGCTGTGTACATACTATTTGAAGAGGCAGATGCGTAGGATACACAGGTCTTTGTACACTCCTTCCCGTGTTTGCGCTTGGTGTCCATCTTGAGTCAGTTGGAGTCGCTTGAGATGGTTGGCATTTACACTTATGCCTTTCCAGTTTGAGTGGTCTTGGGCAAGAGAGTCCCACAAGTCAGGGATGTTACACAACTTGGAGTCAGAGTCATGGAGATGTACAGCACGGAAACAGACCCTTCGGCCCAACTCGTCCATGCTGATTAGATATTCTACATTAATCTAGTCCCTTTTTGCCAGCATTTGGCCCATATCTGTGCAACCCTTCCTATTCATATACCCATCCTGATGCATTTTAAATGTTGTTGTAATTGTACCAGCCTCCTCTGGCAGTTCAGTTCATACACGCACCACCCTCTGCGTGAAAAAGTTGCCCCTTAGGTCCCTTTTTAAATCTTTCCCCTCATCTTTAACCTATGCCCTCTAGTTTTGGACTTCCCTACCCTGGGGAAAAGTCTTTGGCTATTCACTCTATCCATGCCCCTCATGAATTTATAAATCTCTATAAAGTTACACCTCAGCTTCCGACACTCCAGAGAAAATAGCCCCAGCCTGTTAAGCCACTCCCCCATAGCTCAAACCTTCCAACCCTGGCAACATCCTTGTCGATCTTTCTTTCTTTCTTTTCTGAATACTTTCAAATTTCACAACATCTTCCCTATAGCAGGGAGACCAGAATTGAAAGCAGTGTTCCAAAAGTGGCCCGACCATTGTTGTGTATAGCCATAATTTGGAGGATGTCTTTGCTCTGTCCTCCAAATAATTGTTTGCCATGAAGTAGTAGAGAGATCACTATGGAAATCTGGTGTCAGGTGGGCCATGTAGCTGATTCAACTGATTAACCATGACCAATACTTTTTGATACTGAGAACGTTGGCCTGAGAGACGACGCTGATATCAGAGTGCCATTATCTTGCCATTTATGGTGTCATCACTGGTGCTTATTTCTTTAATAAGCTGAGATGCCTGCCAGCTTTCACCTAGAAATGGCACGTTACACTGCTGCCCGGTGCTATGTTTGAGGTCATTGTCCTCAAACACTCTTCCTTTGGCCAAGTGCTGTGCCAGAACTCTGGACATGATGTGGAATTTCATGGTGAATATCTGCCCTTGCTGAAAAGAGGCTCCTGAAATAAATAAGAATTGATTCACATGTCCAGTGGCTAACTGTAGATCTTGATAGTCAGTCAGGGGGCAGCATTGAGCAGTAGGACTAGGATGGTGGAGGACCTTTTTAATTGTTTAGCCTGAACCCCATTCTTGAAGACCTCGATGAAAGTTTGGAGCTCGATCTCTCTCTGTGTGTGTGTGTGTGTGTGTGTCTGTCTGTCTGTCTGTCTGTCTGTATATACGTGCAAACTGTAGACTAATAAGGCGTTGAGTGAAGTGATGAAAGTTGAGTAGTTTCACACAAAAGTGAATCCTTGCTGTAGCAGCAGGCTCCATGAGTATGGTGTGGAGTGTTGTAGCGAGGAAGATAATAGATGAATATTGGTGCAGTGACACAGCTTGTTTGTCCCCAGTTTGCATAAGTATTGGATGTGTGATGTATCCATTTACCTCGTGTTTCTAGGTTTGGTACACATCGATGACTGGTGTACTGTATCTAGATTAGGGTGAGCCACAGGGTCATGAGGCATTCATTTATCTCGCAGCAGAGGCTTGCTGAGACTGTCAACAAGTTTAAGTTTTGTTTTCATGACAAAAACTGATAATTGACATTCTTTCTTAAATTTGCACTTCCAGAATATGGTGCATCAGCCACTTTGTTATTTAAACTGACCTTCCATTGCTGACTGTTTCACTAATTTTCTGGGCTATGATAGCAGTACAACATTCAGGTCTCTCGCTGCTGGAGTTGTCCATGAGACTCCTAATATTTTAGTTCCCAATTTCATTTTGATTGTGTGGCAGATGCCCATCCATGGGTCCTTTTTGTTTTTAACATGACGTGGTCGTTGTACACTGACCCCCACACAGCGTCGGTCGAGCAAGGTCCTAATATCGAGGATAATAGATGATTGGAGACCAGGCTATTGGGGGTCACTGTTGGAGTGGAGGTGGTACTCCATCGGAGTCAGCCCCTGTAAAATCAGCAATGACACATTGCTGCCATAACAGCAGGCATCACAAAGTACAGAGGGGACTCGCAGAAGTGCATCTAGTTGACCATTTATGATGCATGCAACATAGTTACAGTGTGTTGTTGATAGTGGAGCATATGTTTGTTTATGAAATTAAATTGTGTTAACCCCAGCCTCAGTGTAAAATGCTGATGTAATTTGGCTCATTAGGAACTTAATGGCATGAATTTTAAATCCCCAAATGTGGGAATATTTGCAGGAGTCGAAAAGACTAGAGCCCACTTCAATGGTTTCAAAAGCTGACACCTCTGAATTACTTACTCCCCCTTCACTTTTTCTAGACTCCTTTAGAAATCCACTTGATGACATGTTTAGTTATACTTTGCATAAACTATTTAAATCTGAACTGTGCTCCTTGCCTCTATGCTTCAATCTGTTTCCTCGGCTTTGAGTTTGTAGCAATATATAAAATACTACGTGCAGATTTATCGCCTCCTTTCCCATAAGTGTCTGGATTCTTGCTCTTGAATGAGCAATCCAAATTCTTGAAATTTTCTCATTGCTCAGGTGTGTTGAGCTAATTTGGTTTGATTTTCCTTTTTATACACTGCCTTGAATTGTTCAATATCCTTGTTTTGGTATGGTGGTCAAAATTGTACACTACTCCAAATGTGACTCATGTTGAACATAATCTTCATCTTGCCTGAGAATTGTATTCTGATCTGCCTGGACAAAAGAGCTCACTATTTGATTCTTGCTGTCTCTTTATTTCTGCACAAAATCCTACTGCTTTTCATAAGCTTTGCACCTATTCCTTCAAGCAGTTTCTCTCTTGTGCTCTGTCTTCTAGGTTGTCATTTAGTTTCACATTCTCTATGCCCTTGTGCATTGTACCGTTTGTCACTCTCCTCTTTCTAATCTGTGTGGTCTCTGTGATATTTGTGTTACCCATTTTAAAATGTTCCTACCCTAATTATTTGCTGTGTTGGCAAATATAAATGGCTTGTAGCCCTCTCCTGCTGTTGGAGTGCATTTTAAAATTTAAAATTGTGGATAATCTAGCATTATTCTCTGTAACATTCAACTTGTAGTTCCATGCTGTCTTGATCATAGTTTCCCCTTTTTTTTTGTTTTGCATCCTCTGGTTCAGATAATTGTCAGGAAAGCTGCCTTTTTGTACCTGCCTACCTTGTGGACTAAGTGGTTGTGTGACATGATTTGGCGAATGTGGTTGAAGGGGTAGTTTGAGGAGGATTTGAGTTATAACAAGGGACTGGATATGCTGGGACTTTTCTCACTGGGTAAAAGGTTGAGAGGTAACCTTAAAATTTATAAAATCATGAAGGACATAGGTGAAGTGACTAGCGGGTGTCTTTTCCCTAGGGTGGGGGATTTCAAGACTAGGGGACATATTTTTTAACATGAGAGGAGAAATATTTAAAGTGGCACGAGGGGCAATTTTGTTTACACCTAGTGGTCTGTGTGGAATAAACTTCCAAAGGAAGTGGTGGATGCTGGTACGGTAACAATGTTTAAAAGACATTTGGATAAGGAATGTTTGGAGGGCTAAGGTCCAAGCGCAGGTGGGTGGGAGTAGTTTAGTTTGGGATTATGGTCGGTATGGACTGGTTGGACCGAAGGGCCTGTTCCTGTGCTGTATGACTCTATGAATCTGTAAAAAGGCTTCCTGGAATCTAAATGTATCATAACCAAAGAATTCCTCTTCCAGACTTTTCTAGCTGTTGCATTATCCCCTTCTTTGGGATATCTTTTAATATTCTAACAGCTGTTAGACTGACTCATGAGTTTGTAGTTTCCTGCAACTAAGAGGATTTTAAATTTGGAATGTATAAAATAGACCACAGTATCTCTTCCTGTCCTTCCTTTTCCAGTGTTCCAAGAATTAGCCGTTTTTATAAAGACCTTTATTGTCATAATTCTTTTAAAGGAATAATTTGCAACACTTTTATTTTCTGACATTTTAAAAAATATGGCATGAATGTAACTTCTGTTTTAAAATCTTACTGCATTGTGGAATTGAACAGCTATTGATCAGTGTCATCTGATCAGTAGGGACTGGATGAGAATTATAAA